CCAAACCATGAAATGCTCCAGGTGTCAGTGTAGAAAGCTATCTGGCTTTTTGTGGTCCCTCCTTCCTTCTGCACATGGGACCTGTTCCTCCAAAGCTGGCCTATAGGCCACGTCCTCCTGCTGAGAGGCCAGCTGCTTGCCTGGGTGGACCTGTTGGCCCAGGTAGGAAGTAAGGTACAGGTTTGAGGGAAGATGGGCCTGGGACCCTGGGACTGAACCTGGGACAGGGCCTCTTTCTGGCCAAGACTTCCTACCAGCTTAGAGAACACTACAATAGGAGAGGGTCATCTGGCTTTGGAGAGATCAAGGCCTCTCAGACGTGTGCCAACTCCAGCATGTTTGAGAGTGGTTGTCCACTGCTTCCCTGCCAGAGTCCAACACCCACCATCATGGATGCATTCCCTGGAGTGTGGGATTTATTCATGAATGGTTTTAGGGGCAGTGTGGTGCTAGGGGAGCATGGGCATCTGGCTCGAGGCTTTGAAAATATTATCGTTCATCCTTTGTGGACCTTAGTTTTCCTTTCTACAGGACCTTAGTTTTCTCTTCCCTTAGTTTTGCGGAGGATGCCAGTGAGGAAGCTCTTGCCAAACTTCCCCTGGCTAGACCAGCACAGTGGGGCTGGCAGGCGGGCCGGGAGCTGTCCGTGGTTCTGAATATCATTTTTGCTCTGGCTAGGGCGGCTCTGCTTTAAGACTGCAACTGGGCCTTACTGATTGCTGATGACAGATTCTTTTAGTGCTTGAAAGGTGTGCTACTTGCCCTAGACAGTTTGGCTCAGTGGATAGAGTGTCAGCCTTCAGACTGAAGGGTCCCAGGTTCGATTCCCGTCAAGGGCACTTACCTTGGTTGCAGGCTGGGCACATGTGGGAGGCAACGAATTGATGTGTCTCTCTCACATCAAAGTTTCTCTCTGTCTCTCCCCTCCCTTCCACTCTCTCTAAAAATCAATGGAAAATTTCTTCAGGTAAAAAAGAAAGGTGTGCTACCTTGCCCACCCTGGGAAGTACCTCATAAGGCTCCAGCATCAGGAGGATGGATCCTCTTGCAACTTCTTTGCAACTCTCTCTTCTCCATTGTCTCTAGAGCAGGGACAGCAGGGGCAGGGCCAGCAGGGTGGCCACCTCTCCAGTATGATGCCAAGGTGTGAGAAAGGCTTGTCTGCCTTCCTGAATCCCACTGAGGTTGCTAAAATCCCAAGAGGTCAGACTCTGGAGTCCCACAGACCTCTCTGCTCCTCATTAGTTGTGTTGTCTGGGAAGATGACTACTTCTCTCTGAACTTCAGTGTCATCATCTGTAAAATACAGATAAAGCAGCCACCTTCATGCTGTTGTGAGGTTTCAGTGAAGTAATGCATGGAAAGCCCAAAGAAAGCACTCAATAAGTGTGAAGTGTTTGGGGATCTTCAGGAATATAGGCTTTCCAGTCACCAAGGAGTCCCTACTGGAAATCCCCAGGGACATTAAGGCATCACTTAAGATGCCTCTGGTCACTAGGATTGGAGAAAAAGAGGTGCCAGGAAGCGGAGGATGCCAGTGGGGAAGCTGTTGCCAAACTTCCCCTGGCTAGACCAGCACAGTGGGGCTGGCAGACAGGCTGGGAGCTGTCTGTGGTTCTGAATATCATTTTTGCTCTGGCTAGGCTCTGCTTTCAGAAATCTGTGCCACCATCCAACAAAGAGTAAGGAAGGTTCGTCTGTGAGGCCAAAGGCAGCTCCCAAAGTCCCACTTCGCACCTTCTCCAGAAGCACTTTCTGGCCTTACCCTTCTTGGGCACCAGGAGCCCACCTTTTCAGATGCCTGGGCTGCTGCCGGGATGGTTTCTTACATCATGGTTTTCTATCTAAGCCTTGTCCTCTGACTGGACCATGAGCTCCCTGAGATCAGGGCATCTGTCTACCAAGGTGAATAAGTGCTGTCGTCTTATTGTTAAGGGAATATTATAATCAGTGGCATCCACTGCTGACTCTTATAGGACCTTTGAGTCACCCTCCACCCCTACCCCCAGGAGATGCTTTGCTATGGCTTTTCCCTAGAAGACTAAATCTTTCTCCTCCCTCACCTCTTTTCTCTGATTTTTTTTACTTTTGAATTACTTATTTACTCATTTAATAATATATTTATGCACAGGTCAGAGCATATTACAAACATTAATTTTTATAATGATTCTGCCAGTAAGGTACTGTTATACCCATTCAGCAGATGAGGAAACTAAGGCATTGAGAGATTAAGTGACTTGCTAGTAAATGATGGAACCAGAAATCAAACCCAAGTTAGCTGGCTCTGAGAGCCTGTGCTTCTTTTCCCCACCACATTACACTGCCTTTTGCGTAGCCCTGAGATGCTCCAGCACAGTGGTTTGTGGGGAGAAGTGCTCCAGTATTCCACCCCAGCCCAGATCAGGCACCAGAAATATCCCTTAGCATCTGGAAACTCACAATTGAGACAATTAGTCAGAATGCAAGGAAATGGGTGTTTTGTGTCATTTAATTTAATTTTATGAAGACCACTAAATGCAAACATTTTTTGTTGATTACTGCCTCAAATTTGGTCTGTAATTGAGAGAACTAGAGCTGGGAGAGTGTAGAAACCCACTGGAATGGCAGGCCTGACCGAGTCAGCATTTGCAGCCGCTTGTGCCTGCTCTGTTAATTTTAGAAACTCTTCCAGCCTGGGTGTATTATTAGCTTTATGTACAGAGGACCACAGGAACCTCAGTGCTTCTCTGAGCCACAGTATTTTTTGTTTGTTTTGCTGTGTTTTTCCCAAGAGATTAAATGAAAAGGGGTGATGGCCATGTGTATGCAGGAGTGTTTACACACTGTGTAAATGGGGATACATGTGTGTAGCATTTAATAAGTGTCTGCAGCTGTCTTTGGATGATGTGCATGAGGCTGGGTAGAGAGTGTATACAGCTAAGAACACCACTTAGACACTGAAACCATTCTCCTAGGGCCCCTGAGTCATTAGCAGGGTGTGCTGTGTTCTGTGTCCTGGTGTGATGGCTGGGGTAGGCTCTCAGGTCTTAGGTTGGGTTCTCCCAGATGGCATAGGCAGGTCGGGCTAGAAAAAGGCTGGTGGGTTTTGGGGCAGAGAAGGAGCTGAAGTTGACCTCTTGCCATTAGTCTTAGAATGAGAAGGACTAGCCGAGTGAGTCTCTGACTAGAGGTCCTATCTTGAGACCCTGAAGGGCTTGGCTTTCAAAGGAGCTGTCAGAGGCGGTCTCTCCGGAAGCTGCCCTTCCCTGAGCTGTGAGATGTAGGACAGCTGTCTGCCCACCTTCTGTGAAGCAGGCCTTGCCCTCTCCTTGACTCATATCACCGTTTTGCATCTGGTAAAGGAAACAGTTTGCTGTGAAGTAATTTTTTTTCAAACCTAGAACTCTTCATGCAGGGTTGTGGTGGAATCCTCTGAAGACTTGGGGAAAGCTTGCGTGCTTGTCTCTCACATCCTCCTGGCTTCCTTGCAGTAGAAGATTAAATTTTTTAAAATATATTTTCATTGATTCCAGAGAGGAAGGGAGAGGGAAAGATAAAAAGATCAATGATGAGAGAGAATCATTGATCAGCTGCCTCCTGCACACCCCCTACTGGGGATTGAGTCTGCAATCCGGGCATGTACCCTTGACGGGAATTGAACCTGGGACCCTTCAGTCCACAGGCTGACACTCTATCCACTGAGCTAGCCACCCCCCGCTCCCAGGTCTTCACTACCCTATCCTATTGCCTGTGTCCATGGGCTATGCATATAAGTATATAAGTTCTTTGGTACCTCTTCTCGTTCCCCCAACCCCACATCGAGGTATGTGCTCTTATTTCTTTATTAATTAATTAATAAAGATTAATATCTTTATCTGTTATTGTGTAACTGCCTAAATTAGTAACAGAAGAAAACAGCCCTGCAGTGCAAGTGTTTTGTCTTAAGGCCAGTCCTGGGTGGCTGGTACTTGGGCCGGGTCCCAGGATGATTGGTCATACCTTCTAGACCAGCGGTCACCAGCCGGTGGTCCGCGGATCACTGGTGGTCCGTGAGGTCCGAAAGGTTGGCGACCGCTGCCCAGTCAGTGCCTGTCTGTGCTGTCTGCACACTCCAGAGGGGCCCCTGCCGGGCCAGGTGGGAGGCCTGAGAGTGGCTCTTACCTCCTCACATTGCTTAACCTCTCAGAGGCTTTGCCTCCCTCTCTCAGGAAGCACTTAGAGTTGCTTTGAGGGCTTATCAGAAATGATGCCAGTAAGCCTCGTCTGGTCTCACTCCATTGCATTGAGTGGTAACTCATTGGTATCTGAAATTGCCCCATTAACACTTCCTGTTTTTGAAGATATAACTATCCTCCCCAATCCCATGTTAGAATGAAAACATCTGATGGCCTGGCATTTTCTGATGCTACGATACAGGTTAAAGGGTGCTCCCAGAGCCAGATCAGAATTTTAGAACTGAGTGTTGAGGCTCTACCCCTCACTGCACATTGGGGAAACTGAGGCCCAGAGCAGGGAGGGCATGTGCCTGATGTCACACAGCATCGGTGACAAAGCTGGGACTGGAGCCTGGGCCTTCCCTGCTCTCTGGTCACGGTCTGGGGCATGTTTGTCTGCTAGCCTGTCTCAGCGTCAACTGCCCCTCAGGGAGGATGGAGCAGCCTGGCCTGAGCTCAGGGTAGTTCTGGGTGAATTGTTCCTACCACTAAAACAGCCCTGCACTTCGCTCTGATACTGTTGTTTGCTTTGCTTTTCAGCCTCTTACTGGGGGAAGGGGATGCAGGTAGGAGGCCTGTCGTCAGGGAGCTCCTGGAGGGGCAGTCAGAAGGTATCTTTAGTGAAAGAGGAGCCTCTTTCCCTGCCAGAGTCCACGTCTTGCCCTGGCTCCCATAGTCTACCTCCCGCAGTGCCGTAGAACCTCCCAAGACTTCTCTCCTATACTTGCTCTCCCTCAGAATTTCTCTCTCAGTGTGTGACTCATTCTCTTCCTCCTTCTGGCAACTGACCCCTTTGTCTCTGGGCAGATTCTACTGGGACCTGACCATGTTGCTGCTGATGGTGGGGAACCTGATCATCATCCCTGTGGGCATCACCTTCTTCAAGGATGAGAACACCACACCCTGGATTGTCTTCAATGTGGTGTCAGACACATTCTTCCTCATCGACTTGGTCCTCAACTTCCGCACAGGTATTGTGGTGGAAGACAACACAGAGATCATCCTGGACCCACAGCGGATTAAGATGAAGTACCTCAAAAGCTGGTTTGTGGTGGATTTCATCTCCTCCATCCCTGTGGACTACATCTTCCTCATTGTGGAGACACGCATCGACTCAGAGGTCTACAAGACAGCCCGGGCCCTGCGCATCGTCCGCTTTACCAAGATCCTCAGCCTCCTGCGCCTTCTGCGTCTCTCCCGCCTCATTAGATACATTCACCAGTGGGAAGAGGTGAGTTCTCAGACTCAGATCTCTTGAGGGAAGGGTGTTTTCCCCCAGGGGGGACTGAGGGGCCAGAAGGTAATCTCAAGATAGTTGGATGTGGGCTGTCAGATTATAGCAGACACACCTGCTGCAGGGGGACAAATACTAGTAATTTCTTGAATATCGTGTGCTAGATACTGGGCAAATCACTTTATAGGCAGTATCCCATTTAAGTCTTTAACATCCATAGAGGGTACCATATAGGTACACGCAGGTACCATGTTTTAATGAGGAAACTGAGAGACAGAAAGATTAAGGGATTTATTAAGGTTACAGAATCAGTAACTAGTGAACCTAGACTCCAGAGCATGCACTGGTAACCACTGCACTATATTGTAAAGGTTTCAAACTCATAATCCTATAGGGGCCAGACAGGGAATGTGAATGGTGAAACAGGCGAGTTGGAAGGCATTAGGGAATGTAGTACACTGGGGAAAACTGGAGAATGTCTTCTGTCTAGCTCTAGCCACTTGTTGCCAAGTGAGAATGGCCTTGGGTTGCTAGATCTACAGATTTATCATGAGAAGCAGGAATCTGGATTTTTGTGCAGATTTTGTTGGCAACTATTTTAGGTTGGGTCCTTCTGGAGCAGACCCTGAGATAAGGATTTGCATGAAAGTGATTTTTTAGGGGGAAGTGTTTCCAGGAAGATATAGTAAGGGATTGGGGAAGAGAGAAAGGGAAAGGAAGGAAGGAAGCTAAGCAAGGGTACATACCATGGAGGGTTACATGGGGACCTTTTAGGATAGTGTATACCATGCCTCAGATGTGTTAGAATTTTGTTGTTGTTATTAATCCTCACCCAAGAATATTTGTTTCATTGGTTTTGTTATTGTTAATCCTCACCCAAGGATATTTTTCCATTGACTTTTAGAGAGAGTGGAAGGGAGGGGGAGAGAGAGAAACATCGATGTGAGAGAGACACATTGATTGGTTGCCTCCTGCATGTGCCCCAACCAAGGCTGGGGATCGAGCCTGCAATCAAGGTACATGCCCTTGATGAGAATTGAACCTGGGACCCTTTAGTCTGTGGGCTGACACTCTACCCATTGAGCAAAACCATTGATTTTTTTTTTTAGAGAAAGTGGAAGGGGGAGGGAGGGAGGGAGGGAGGGAGGGAGAGAGAAAGAGAGCGAGAGAGAGGTGAGAGGCATATCTATCAACTGCCTCCCTGTATGTGCCCTGACCAGGAATGTCAGGGGCTGGGGATCGAACCTGCAACCCAAGCCCGTGCCTTTGATTTGGGAATCAAACCCACAACCCTTCAGTTGTGCAGGCCCAACGCTCTAACCATGGAGAAACACCAGCCAGGGCAGAGGTGTTAGAATTTTTTATATCCCCTTACCTGCCAACCATTGGTTCAGAGGCCTTCCCACCCTCAGTGCTAGCAGCAGGCAAAGTAGTTTCCAGCAGCCTGGCTCTAAAGCAGGAGCGGGGACCGTCCGGCCCGTGGGCTGTATAAGGACCGCAAAATCAATTGATCTGACCCTGCCAAGGCATTAGTGGTGAGTTAATTAAATGTTTGACTAATTAAATATAGCAGGCTACTTTTTTTAAGCAGGCTAATGTTTAAGTTGATAATTTTGTATGGCCTGGGAATGATGTTATAAATATCCAAATGGTCCTTGGCAGAAAAAATGGTTCCCCATCCCTGCTCTAGAGAATGAAAGCACCAGGAATCTAGAGTTGTGTATGCACAAAAAATGTGTAAAGGATCCTTAGGCCTCAGGGTGGAGCACAGACTACAGAAACTAAATAATAAATCGTAAGAAAAAACGGGTAAGCCAACACCATTCTGAACAAAATTGACTACTCTATGAGCTGAATGCAGTTGTCTGGGATGGAGGAAAGAGAGGGGACTACCAGCTGGGGTTTGAAATAACAGATGACCTTGCCAGGTGCTTCGGTCTGTGTCTGCCACCACCCAAGTTGCATCTCTTGGCAGCAGCGGCAGGCAGGCCAGCCTGGAGGTACTGGGGTTGGGGAGAAGTGCTTTTTGGGACATCCCACTTTGGGGTCCTAAAGCTTCTGCAGACATGCGTTTTCTGCCTCAGCTCACTGCTGCTGTTGCTCTCCTGTTCTCCAGGACTCTGCTCGACTAGGATATTTCCCAGGTACAGGATATGAAGTTCCCAGGCACAGGACAGGAAGCAATTACCCCAGCCAGGAGCACCCATGCTGATGGTTGGGCACTGGCAGATTGAAGTCAGAGGTGTCATGAGCACCTGTGCCACAGAAGTGCCTACACCAGTCTATCGGAATCACTCCATGCAGAAATTCTCTTTTGCTTCGAAAATTGCATTCTTTCTACTGACAGAGAAGCGGCAATGACTTGCCCACGGTCATGCAGCAGATGCCTGGCAGAGCTAGATGAGAACCCACTTAGTGTTTTTGGTTCCCAGCAATATGCAGTCCCTGCCTGGTGCAGTGCAATGCTTGAGGGCTTTGGAACTAGAATGACACAGTGGAGACTTGAGTTAAAATGTTGGCTCCCCACCGCCTACCTGTGTGACCTTGGGGCCATCTTGCCTCTTTGACCTCAGTCTCCTTATCGGCGAAGTGGGGTATAACGAATAGATTCCTCTTGGATTATTGGGAGAACGAAGCAGAATGAGGTTAGTCATAACCCTTTATGTGAAGCCTGGTGCCAAGAATCATTTAATAAAGGCTCTCGCCCTGGCTGGTTAGGTCATTTGGTTGGAGCTCTAAACTGGACATCACTACCCAGTCTCGTGGGCAGGAAGGGAGATCCCTGGAGACCAGATGGATGGCTCCCGACCCCTCCACACAGCACCCTTATTTTGCCTACCAGCTGGGGAGTAAATTGCTTTGCGTGGTTTCTGCCAGGCACACTGCCCAGCCAAGAACTACCACTAGACCCCTTGGATTGGATTGGGGTTTCCAAGCTAGCCCCAGGAACCCTATATCCAATCCTTAATGGCCTGCTCCAGTCCCTGGGTTTCTCTTAGTCTCAGCTTGGCTGGAAGCAGTAGTAGGGTAACCTTTGAGGCCCCCACTTTGCATGAGACCTGGGGAGGGAGGTATTTTAATAGGGTAATAGGGAAACCCTGCCTATCTCTCACTCCTATGTGAATCTCTTTTCTTCTTTGACCTCAGTTTCCCAACT